CAGAGGTGATGAGGATGGCAGACGATAGGGCAGGTTCAGGCTGGCTGTTGGGTCGCTAGGAATCCTCCTCAACTCCATGGCCTTTTCCATCTCACTGAAGAATGGAATTGGTGTATATATTGGGATTGCATTGAACTTGAAAATTGCCTTTGGTAGAATTGTCATCTCCACAATATTGAGTTTTTTCTATCCATGAACATGAATGAACATGATAATATTCTTCTGTTTCTCCAGGTCTCTCTTTGATTCTTATAGTAATGTTTTGTAATTTTCTTTGAATAGTTATTTTGTGTCTCTAGTTATATTTGTTTCCACAAATTTAATCTTGTGACTAGCTATTTTTATGGTTATTGTTTTCTTAGCTCCATTTCTGTATTCTCTTTGTCACTGTAGAAAAATCCAACTAATGTCTATATGTTGATCTTGCATCCTGCTACTTTGCTGGATTGGTTGACTGAGTATGTCCAGTAGTTTTCTCACTGAGTCTTTAGGGTTTTCTAAGTGTATTATCATACCATCTGCACATAGAGATAATTTTACCTCCTCTTTGCCAATTTGGATACCTCTTATTTCTTTCTCTTGTCTTATAGCTATTGCTAAGACTTCTAATACAGTATTGAATAGGAGAAGTGATAATGGACATCTTTGCCTAGTTCCTCTTTTCAGAGGGAGTGCCTTTGCTTTCTCTCCATTGAGAATGATGTTGGCTCTTGGTTTTGTGTTTACGCTTTTAGTATGTTGAGGAAATTCCCTTTTATTCCTATTTTGTTGAGTGTTTTAATCAGGAAAGGGTGTTGGATTTTGTTAAAGGCCTTTTCTGCATCAATTGATAAAATCATGGGTAATGTGATAAATTACATTGTCTTTCATCCTTGCATACCTGTTATGAATCCTATTTAGTCATGCTAATTTTTTTTTATGTACTGTTGGATTCTATTGGTCAGAATTTTATTGAGGGTTTTTGCATCTATGTCCATGAGAGATATTAGCCTATAATTTTCTATTTCGGTGGTATCTTTAACTTACTTTGGTATCAAGAACATACTTGCTTCATAGAATGAATCTGAGAATATTCCATCTTTTTCTGATTTCTGAAATACTTTTTGTAGAACTGGTGAGAGTTCTTCTCTGAATGTTTGATAAAGATCACTAGTAAAACTAACTAGTCCAGTGGTTTTTTGTTTGGAAGTTGTTTTATGACCTGTTCAATTTCTTCTTTTATAATGAGCCTATTCAGGTATTCTGTTTTGGTCCAAAATTAAAGCTAATAGTATAAAACAGTTAGAAGGAAACACAGGAGTGACCGTTTACAGCTTTGAATTCATCAGTGGTCTCCTAGGCACTACACCAAAAGCCTGGGGAGCTCTGGTGGCCTAGCGGTTCGAATCTGCCGGTTGCTTTGCGAGAGGAGGATGGGAATTCTCCTCCCGTGCCATTAACTGCCTCTGAAAACCCACTGCAGGATCAGCGAGGAGTTAATTCCAGTCGATGGTACTCAACAACAGCAATACCAAAAGCATAAGCAACAACAAAAGATACAGTGTGATCTCCTCCCAGGACAGTTTACAGCCTCTGAAAACCTGCTGGAGGGTCAGCTCCGAGTCAGTTCTGACTCAACAGCACATAACAACAATATAATTGATAAACATGTTTTAAAATGTATTGGGACAGTAAATGTACAATATTGTAAATATATTAAAAACCTTGAATTGCATTCTTTAGATGGGATTAATTACAGGGTATGTGAATAATAGCATATAAAAATGAGGGGCGGAAATCTGTTAATAGACAGAAGAATATGTAGAAATCCTAGAAAAGCCTATGAAAGCAGGTTCAAATAGCATTGGTAACAAAAATATACAAATTAAAACCAAAAGGAGAGGCCACTACACACCCATCAGAAGAGCTAGAATTTGAAGACCAAGATCACGCTCTCCTGGGCCTGCCATTGTTTGTAGCACTTTCCCAGTGATGGCCCTCCCTGTATTTTATTAAAGCTGCTCTGCCGTCTTGGTATGTTTTACTACTAGTATAGCCTTGACTGTTGGATGCAGTTCACTGTTCACCTAAATAGTCATATTCCTACAATGAAATGTTTATTTTATGACTGTAATGTCACTTCTCTTTGGACTCACTGGTCAAGCTGTTCCAAAAATAAGAAGCAGGCTTCTTGATGTTGTATTAAGTTTGTCTCCTTAGGCTGGTAGATTTTTCTCAGTCTCTCCTGGAATAGAAAATATCCCTTTCTTGGTCACAGGCCACAACAGTTCTTAAATAGTTGTAATTCCCATTTTATAAACAACTGACATTTCAGAAAGACTTAATTTTCTGAGGCAGGATTGCAGTGAAACCAGTGCTTAGTTCCAGGCTGTTGGTTTAGGAGCCCAGGTTCTACTAATTGAATCAAGTTGCCTCAGAGTCATAATAAGCATAGTGGGATTTTTTTTAAAGATGGATTTTCCTATTAAGTTTAAGAGTGACTTTCCAGAACCTTATTTTACATTTAACCCGCTATAAAGAGTTTCTAATCACATGGTTACCAGAGAAAACTGAAGAATCAGTGCCTTTGACTTGAAGTGTCAAAGAGTATTGACTATCTCAGAGACTGCCAGAACACCCAGTCTTGGAGGAAATGCAGCCAAGGTGTTGCTAAGAGGCAAAGATCGTGAAACACTGTATCTTATACCTTGGACATGTTGTGGAGAGGGGCTGGTCCTTAGAACAAGACTTTGTGTTGGGAAAGGGGAGAAGACCCTCAACCAGGTGGACTGACACAGTGACTCCAACAATGGACTTGGACCGTGTCTCGTGAGAATGGCCCTGGACAGGACATGGTTCAGATCTGATGTTCAGGGCCACCAAGAGTCAGCTCATTGGTACCCAGCAACAGCAGCAACAACTGACACGTGAGCCTCACTTATTAATTAATCTAATAAGGATCTGGTGAGTGCTTTCTGGGTGTGCAGGCCCTGTGTTAAATACACGGAGATGAAGACCTTGAGTCTATCGGACTTCAGAAACCCATGTTTAGCAAAGAAAATAAGTAAGCAGGTGAACGTTTGCATTACGACCAAATAACTACCAGAGGAGAATTCTTTCCTGAGTACGTTTGTGACATAAGAGAGGTGGTCAGTTCTTCTGGAGTGGCCAGAGGAGAGGATCCAGGAGGTGGATATTCAGGGCTCTGTAAGGGATTGCCAGAGATTGGTGGGTGGCCATTCCCGTGTCAGAGCAGAGTCTACACATCATTTCTGCAGAGCACCAGTATTAGGTTTAAGCAAATAACTACTTGAAAGTAGCAAAATAATTCATTGTTAGTTTGCAGGAATGCTGTGTTCTTTTACACCTTTTTAATAATTAGCTTTGTATTCAGATATAATTAAAACTCTGGCAAAATGCAGACACATTAGAGGAGAAATGCCTTTCTTTATCTGCTTATCCCAGTAAAATCCACGGCAAAACAGTCCCCTCTGTGCTCTTTCCTGCTATGGCATCAGCTTTTTGGATTGTAAAGTTACACAGACAAGAGAAAAGCAATTTTTTTATTATTATTTTGGAAATTTTGCTTTGTTCTTGTGTCACATTGTGATCAACCTGTCAAGGTATTAAACTTGGGATACACGCTTTTTCAAATTTGTCAAGATAAGAACTGAAAATGACATTTATGTAACTGCTTTGTAAAAGGAAATTGTTTCTTACACACAAAAAGATTTTTGTGTCTTAATGTAGCAAGGATTCATTTCTGATGGAGGTTCTTAAGATTACTAATACTAATATGTAGTTTTAAAAACATTTTTTATTAATTTTAGTGAAAGTTTACAGAGACATTGAATTTCCATTCATTCATTGTTGCACTTTTCTCCCTGCCTGACCTCCCCCTCAGTTCGCTTTTCTCTTTGAAAAGTAAAATTCTTTCATTGTTATATACAGTCCCTCCTCCCAATTCCACTCCATTATGCAATACTTTTTAAGATTACCACTTTACAATATTAATTTGTATAGCTGCTACATAAAATCAGGAGCATTCGGTTAATTCATTTATCAATCAGTATCTCACTAGAGCCATATTTATCAGCATAACTGTGCTCTTTTAATTACACAGGCCCTTTACTTCTTTTTTATTCTAATCTTTTTGTCTCCTATGTCATCGCTCCCCCTGGGGTAAAGTGGGCATGTTTGAGGGGGAACTGGGAACCACCTGGTTCTAAGTGCTTCTATGCCGAGACAGGGGGGCTGCCTTTAAGCTGCATATGGAGCCATAAAGGGCTCCTAAGTAGGCCTAAAATGCATTTGTGGTAGGGCGCTCTGGTGGCCTAGTGGCAGGAAGCTGCGCTGTAATCCCAGATGCATGTGGTTCGAATCCACCAGCTGCTCCTCAGGAGAAGGATGGGCAATCTCTTCCCATGCGATTAGCTGCCTTTGAAAACCCACCGGAGGGTCAGCTGTGGGTCTGTCGGTTCCAACTCGATGCACACACACACATTTTTGGTAGTATGCACAGACTACTCTGGAAAACAGGGAAATTGCCTTAGAGATGCTTTCATGTTAACAAAAAATAATTGTAAGAAAAATTATCTTCTCAATACTGACGGCAGCTGTCACCAAGGAAAGGGGGGCTGTTTTGCTCTTGTTTGTCATGGTTGTTTTTGTTCTGATTTTATAATCGCTGATGTTCTGGTTCTTCATGTTTATTGTGCATTGGGGACAGTTTGCTGATATGCTGGATTTGGGGAAACATATTTAAACATATACAGAATTTATGTGATATTTGCATAAACAGGTACTGCTATTATGACGTAATTTCATTGTAGTTTAATCTGGGCTTTAGGAACCTAAACTCTGGTAACACATTCTCTGTGGAACTGAATTCCGTAAACTATGGATTATTCTCCCACAAACCAGCATGTTAATATCAATGTGCGGTTAATGATTAAGAACAAATGCTTCCTTTAGTTGTATGAATATAAGTCAAAGAAAGAAAAACTGTATTTCATTTTTAGATTATATAAATGGTGGCGAACTTTTTACTCATCTTTCTCAAAGAGAGCGTTTCCGAGAGCAGGACGTGCAGATCTATGGCGGAGAGATCGTGCTGGCCCTGGAACACCTCCACAAGGTAAGCGGTGGCGGAGAGCTGGGAGTTCTCAGGGGGAAAAGAGTGCTAGCGAGAGGTGTGGGGGACAGAAGAGCCCGGTTCTCCCAGGCCGTTGTGTTGGTGGTGAGTGGAAAAGGCACCTGTGGAGAACGTTACACGTTGTCAGATTTTCTATGTCTCTCTTTTACATTTCCTTTCCTATTGTGATAAATCTGGGCAGTATTTGGTTTTGTAAATATATCCTGAAAAATTCTTAATGCTGAATTATGAAATAACAGTAGGACAAAAGCCTAACATCCTTAAAATAACCTTTCAAATGAAGTCATTTAGATATCTTTATTCTGATACATTTCACTGCAGACTTTGCCTGCGCTTCTCCAGGGTCCATTTCCTGATTAGACTGGGAAACAAGGGTAATTTGAAAGACCCTCCTGCGTGTGTTACCCACCTGCCTGTGTTACCCATCAGCTCACCATACCCACCTACCTACCTACCTTGCCCACCTGCCCACCTGCCAACATTATCCACTTGCCCATATTACACACCTACCTCATTCTCCTACTCAGACTTTCTTTTCACACACCTGCCCCCATACCCTCCCTTCTCCTCCATTGCCCCCACGTAACATGACACAGCTCATAGGTACTTAAGTACGTGGCCATGAAACAGTTTTGGCTTTTCTAAAATCATCTCAAGCTTTCCCTTATATACCCACATACCATTCATCTTGATCTGAGAAACTTTTACTCATTTGTTTATTTAAAAACCAGCCATTTTTATGAAAGCAAATAGCCATGACATAGCCAGCATTTGTGTCAAAGGCGTGTGAGGCAGGTGACGGGCCGCCTCAGATCCCCGTGTTAGGACAGGACAGGGACATACAGAGTCCTTCTTCCATGTGTTTAGGTTCTACCCCACTATGATAAAGGGAGAGTAAGGTGCTGGTTGTGAAAGGCAGGGGGATAAGGCGAGTAGGATGAGCTTTATAAAGAGGCAGGGAGAGGAGAGCAAGGTGGAGGCAGTGGGTGAGAACAGCAGTGAGGAGATTTGAGAAAAGAAAGGTGGATCGAGATAAGGGAGGCTCTCCTGAGAACGGGATGGGGCCTGGACACGTAGGAGGCGGAGGGGCTGCAGTGCATGGAGAGAAAAACGAGCTGAGAACAACCAAGCCGGGAGTCGAGCTGGAAGGGGACAAGGCTCGTCCACACTCAGGGCAACAGCAGTTCTGCTGTGGTGAAAAGCTTTAATAGAGCTTGTTTCACATATTATTTCTGTGAGATATATACATTTCCTTGTATGTGAAACAGGTTAGACTCAATAACCAGCTAAAAAAAAAGACCATTGAGTTTTCTAAAAAAAAATATTGAATGTCATTTTTAGTAATGTAAAATGATCATGAAGGCATCATAAATACCAGGGTAAAAATAAAACATAAGGCCCCAGAGAGTAAGCTTTCTGATGCAGTTCTTAAATGTGTATGAAAGCTTTAACTCTGTTTATTAAAGGAAAATCCATGGACATTCATCTTTATCACAACAGTGTAATTAAAACTGTAGAAGCAGAAAACAGTAAAAGCTGGATTAAAAAAGTAATTAATAGAGAGCATAAGTAATATCGCTAATTATAACTCAACGAAGATTCTCTTAATCTTATTACTCTAACATGATCCGTATAAAGAAATATGACACAAACCCAACAACACTGATCTTGATCGCTCTACTGACTGTAGTTTTCACAGGAAGAGAATAACTTCATTTCATTGGCACCCATCTACGACCACTGAGTCAGGACCATCTAGGTCAGAGACTGCCCTACAGGGCTTCCAGGACTGAAAATCTCTATGGAATCAGACTGTCCCATCTCTCTTCTACAGAGCAGTTGGTTTTGAACCATTGACCTTTTGGTTAGTAGTCACACTCTTTTAACCACTGTGCCAGCAGGGTACCTGCTTAGTTGGAAGTAGTTGGTAAATGATTTATTCTTGGAAATCTTTCCCAAGAGGAAGTTCAAAAGAAAAGCACCACTGGTTCCTGGAGGCTCTTACTTCCAGGTCAGCTGTCTCTTCAAGGAGACATCTAGATGTTTTCCTTCCTTTTTCTTATAAAACTATCTGATGGGAAAAA